CCTCCCTTTTTGTTTTAAAAAAGTTTTAAAAAATGACAAATAATGTTTTATATCTGATCGTGTTTAAATGTTAGAGGAAAAATGACATTTGAGCTCACAGAATCGATTGTAGGAAAAGGTAAATACTGACACAGCTTGAGCCATGCAACATGCTGATACTTGGATCATGAGCTTTTACAGATTAAATGTCATACCTGCTGCCTCTGTGTCACCTGCTGCCAATGAGCCTCCATAACAGAGGCAATAAGACCAGCAGACTATTGGAGGAGGCTTTTCACACCTTTATGGTCAAAAAATCTATTCTTTAAATTAATAATGTTCCTTCTTTATAAATGACGATGAAATATTGACCTCTAAACAAATTGTCCTGCACATTTATTTTTAAACATGTACCTTTAAAAAGTAGCACTTATAGTGGAAACCCAGACATTGTTGACACCTTTTTTGCAAATACCATTTGGCATCTATTTGGCACCAGCTGCCTTTTCTTTAATAGCTCTAATTTAAACACAATACAATTAAAAAAGACCTCAGGCATCACCTGACTGCTAAATAAAGACCATTTTTGTTGTTAAACCCAAACTGTTAAAACGTAGTGAACAAAAACAGCCCTAAGTATTTCTTAACTTTCAAATTAACATAATCATGTATCACTTTGAACTGGTCTGAGGTTTCTGGCTGCAGTGTTACATACAGCTTTAAATAAGATATCAAATACCTTTATATTCCTACAAAGAAAACACTCCTATTAGACGAATAGAAGGAAATAATAGGTCCAAATCTTTACAACAGCTTGGGCTTAAAGTCTACTTCAACTCATGACTCAGACATTTACATAAGGTCCAAAATCACATGATGGAGCAGAAACCAAAGGAAATTTTTTTTTTCTTCTGAAATTGAAATCTTCTGTCACAAAACACATTGGAAGAAATCAATAACAAATAAATAAAATACCAGGATCTAAAAGGCAAAAGGAAACATTGATATAGACAAATAACTAAATAAGAATAAAGTCTATAAGTGGCATTTGAGACAAAGTCAGTGATTTTATTGATCTAAACTGGTAGAACTGAAGTGTATTTCATGAGAAGTGTGTGTATATATATATATATATATATATATATATATATATATGGTATTTTCAGGAAGTTGGGTGGATAATAAACTAGTAAGCATGAACACCACGTGGTGCAGAGGGTGTGAAAGTATGTTACGTTAAGTATATTTAGTTAAATATGTTTTATGGAGACTTTACACAGTTATTTGATTATTTTACTATGAATCAATAAAAAATAACCACCTTCAAGTTTTAAATCACTGAGCAAAAATCCGATTAGGAAAATAAAGCATTTATTCTACTGTTCAGGAGAAGGCCGCAACATTTTAGAGCACAAATGATCCAGATTGGAAGACATTTGTGGTCAGAGGAAGATGTAAGGAGCTTGTTATTTGACTAAGAAATAAAGCTTTTTTAGTGTTCCTATACAAAAACTCCATGACACAATACGCTATGTGGAGATTATAAACATTGGTAGGATGAAGGACATCCAATGCTGAATATCTAAACTAAAGGAAAAAGATTAAGCCACTAATTTCCAACAAGCATTTAAACATCAGTCCATATTATTATTAGTTTTAACTATAGTTTTAAATACTTAGGTGCCAATCTCAATGCACCCCCTACCCCTATGTATCAGCCCTGGAAAAAAAAAAAATCTAGAGAAGTAATTTTTTTCTTAGTGCATTTTCTTTTAATTGAGGAGGTAAGTCAGAAACCTTGCCAATGGAATAAGACAATTTTCATTTAAAACAAAATGTTTCAAAATTGTCTCAGGTCAAATGCATATTACTTACTTATCTTTAAACATTGAGGGACATTGAGATTGGGCCTTAATCAGTGTGAGAGATTGCTGCAAAATCAAGGAAACAATGCAGGCAACTGTCTGATGGGTTTCCTTTGACAGAAGATCACAACTAAACTGTCTGCATGTGTTATTAGTAGGGGTGTGGAAAGAAATTGTTTTGGCAATATATTGTGATTTTTGGCTGCCTGATATATTATTGATCTTTCAGTTCCTAGTATCAATTTGGTTTTGTTTTTTTTAAACCAAAATTTTTTTATTAGTGATGTTATGAGAAGAGCTGAGGCTTGGAGGCGTGTGTCGAGTAATGAAGGGGGCGTTTCCCCGAAGCGCGTGTCGAGGCGTGATTCATTTACAGGAGGGGGCAAAATTGATGACGTCTGAAGTGGTTCAGAAAGTGCAAGAATTTTGACAGGCATTTAAATAGCCTCAGTTTTCATTCAAGATGTGGGAGTTTGTAGGAGAGTTGTTGTCAGTTGGATAGAGTTTGGAAAGATTCTAAGAATAGATTGTTTTTTTTTCCAACCAATCTTGTTGCTTAAAACTATTTTGGTTAGATTACACAATGTAATGATAAAAATCTGAGCAAGCCACTAGACACAGTTGTAACGTTAGTGTTAAGTAGTATTTTCNCTTAAAACTATTTTGGTTAGATTACACAATGTAATGATAAAAATCTGAGCAAGCCACTAGACACAGTTGTAACGTTAGTGTTAAGTAGTATTTTCCACATAAGTGGTGTCATCTGTAAGACAAAGACTCCCACTCCTGAGGTTGATGGTTCAAGACCTAACTTTGACTTTTGAAAGTTACGATCATACTTAATTATTTTGGCTAATGAGAATAATTTGCATTGGTTTGCCCTAGTAAATATATAGATTGGGAAAAAACGCTGCCAAATAAGATTAGTTTAGCCAAAAGATTGGTTGAACACAACTTCCAACCCAATTAAAACCAAAAACTATGGAAAAACTATTATGTTTGAATAAAAATGACTAACACCTTTTATTTTGTTCATCACTGTCCAATTTGCATAAACACTTTCACCGTCTGCTTGGGTTTATTTCACTAAATTGCAGAAAAACTGTGCACCTTAAATTATTGTTCTAAGAAATTGTACACTAAAAAAACTTACAAAAGATTTTATTATACACACCAATTATTGGAAATTTTAATGGAAGTTAAAAGGGGAAACAAAAGAAAAACAATTGCAAAAAAAAAAAAGAAATCACAATTTTATTACAAACTGTAGTTCTGCATTCCACCAGTAGATGGTGACATATTCACATGAGGCTTCATGAACTGTGGGGATAGTTAAAGCAATTTGGCCAAACGGTTCAAGGCCTCATGAGGCTTAATCATACCATCACTAATTTTATCTAAACTTGAGGGAGAATGGACTACCTATGTCCCACTATTCTAGCATATAACGCTGTGGAGCACTATTGCTGTGCAGTGCAGCGCAATATCTATAGTTGAGACGGTCACAGTGGAAGATGTGGACTAATTCAAACCCCAAACAACATCGATACCAAAATAACTGAACGATCAATATAATCTGGTGAACATATACAGAGCTTGCTTTTTTATCTATACATTTAATTTTAATAGCAGGAAAAATATTGCAATATATGGTGATATTGCAATATAGTGATAATATCGTATCGTGAATCAAGTATCCTGACATGGATCGTATCGCAACACCCATGCCAATACTCCCCACTAGTTATTAGATCAAGTTGAACCATTTAAGTGCCTTAAGATATGGTCAAAATGTGTGAATTCAGGACATTGATTCTCTGTTGTGCCTTGAACATGCTGTTCTTAAATGAAAATTTGCACCTTCTTCTTTAATTTCCAACTTTGACTTCCATCACCTGCAGTTAGGAAAACTACACAGAAAAGCCGCAACGTCATATAAGCCGTGTGGCTCAAAGTATGGGGGAAAAAATAGTTGCTTATAGTACAGTAAACTGAACTGAAAATGACGGTTGAGTCTTAATTTTGGACTTAAAGGAAACTCTGGGTTGACTCCTTTAGGTCAAAAGGACCTAAAGAGGGGCTGCAGATGTTTGCACTACAGGGATGGGATGCAGTGGAGTAAACAAGCCAACATGGCAGCCCTTTTTCTCCATAAACCCTAATGCAGCATTCAAGACATCTCCTCAAACTCCTTCATTATACTTCACAGATCATTTTTAAATGAAAAAGGTTTAAATACAGTAATGATGTGATTTTAATACTCTGTGTTTTCAACCAGCTCAGAATACAGCATCTACTTCCTGTATTAACAGTTGATTCTCCAGTCCAGGTCACATCTGACCAATAAACAGGCCCAATGTTCCCACGCGGCTGCAGTGGTTTTGGTTAACCTGTAATCTACTTCATGTGAAAATAAATGAACAACCAGAAAAAGTATCGAGATAACAAACCCATCAGCAGATTCAGACTAAATAGATGTGAACTAAAGGGTTTGAGGCTGAGAGCATCAAACACTCACATTAAGATTTCTACACCCACCTGTGAGGAGGCTGCTGGGAAGCTGACCCCTTCCTCTTTCAGGGTCTTGATGGTGGCACCAATCAGGCTGAGCTGTGGATCCTTCTGGAAGTCTTCTGCCCACTCCACCATCATTGCCTTCAGCTTTTCACAGACCTTAGGGTGGGCCTGCAGAGGGCATGAAACCGACATTAATATCACCTTCGGAAACCTTAACCTAACAATTGTTTCAGTGGACTCCATTTTATTTATTCATCTTTTTAAGCAGCAAACTTAACCTAAAAAAGATAAGGATCCTTCTAGGGGCCAAAAGAACTTATTTTCTAGGGATGAAAAAATTAATCGAATGAATCAATTATTGAAATAATGATCAACTAATATAATAATCGATTAATCATTAACTGGATTATAGAGACACTAAAGCAGGCCTTTAGCTGACATAGCGACCCACTAAGAGCAGTAATTATACTAAGATTGTAAAAAAAAAAAAAAAAGAATAAACATTTTGCATTTAGGATTAAAAAAATATATAAAGTTTAAGTTTCACCTGGTTTAATTTCATAAAAAGTCTTCTTTATAGAATCTTTGGCTACCTGATTATTAATTGATTAATCGGAAAAATAATCGAAACATTAATCGATTTCCAAAATAATCGTTAGTTGCAGCCCAGATATTTTCCTTCTTTTATTTCCTTATTAGCGAGAGACATTTAGAATATATTTCTGTTTAGAATAGTTTAAAGCAAAACCTATACAATATCTTATTTATATGATTTAGATTAAACATGTCTCTCTTATGTAAACCAAGCATAAAAAGTATTCTGACAGCTGCAGCATCGACATCTACTTCAAGTTACATGTTTACATGAAACCTTCAAGCCAAGATGGAGGAGTGTCACATTTCTCAAGGGACAATCTAACCATATGCCTTGATTAAATCCAGGGAACTGCGTGTCCTCTAACCCCGATGCAAAATTTCAAAGTACAAATAAAAAAACAAATGGCCCACTGAGGGTCACATACCTTGTTTAACACACTCCGCACTTCAGCAGAAAACTCCCTTGAGCAGATTTCCAAATGGAAGATTTTGCCACAGTTGGAGACACAAGCACCAAGCAGCTGTAACAACGCAGTGAAATTTAACGTCAGCAAAGAAAAACAGACAAAATTATTCAGTTCTAATATTCATTACAGGTTGATCAAGTGGTTACATAACAATAAAAAGGGTCAGGATTAAAGCATTATCTGCAAATAAGGTTAAATCAGGGCTTCATAGAACAATGAAAGGTATATAAATATCTAAAAATTATTTAAAAAAAGATTCCTCTATTGAAGCACGGGTCTTTAACTGACATTAAATTAGTGAAAACATTTTTAAGATCAGCTTTAAAATAAATTAGTTTCCAAAATGTCAAAAGAAAACTGCACATAAGCTTTTTTAATGTATAATTTTAGCCTAAATGTTTAGGTTTTAAATGCTTCCTACAATAACTGCATCAGATGAAATAACTTAATTAAAAAACATGTTTGGTAAAATCAATGCCCGGAAAATAATGACATCTTTATTGACACATTTTTAATAAACAGGTTCAATTGAAATTCTATGAAATAATTTCAGATCTATCAAAAATAAAGTAAGGTTCTATTTCATAATGTTTTATAATAAAATCGCTTAAAAAATGTACCGTTTTAGGATAAGCAAGTTCAATTAATTTCAGTTTAATTCAATTTCCATTTACTTTATCAATAGGGCTGGGAGATATGGCCTTAAAATCTGATGATATTTTGTGGTACTATCCTGATAACCGTTGTTCTCGGGTGTTTAGTAGCTGTGAATCAGTGCCACAGCTACCAGAGCCTCACAATAACTTAAAAATATACAATTTGAAAATGGCTTCTTACAGACACACGTTACATAAAGAATCAAGGGTTTTATTACTAAATGTAGCGGCTGTAATTAATCATTTAACTGGATTTGCCAATGCCTCAGTGGGAAAAATTAAAAAGAAAAATATTACTACAAAGTTATCACAATAACAATTGAAGTGCCCAATTTAGCAAATCCTGAATTTTACAACCTCTAAGGTAAAAGAAGTAATGCTGTGATAATTATGATGTTATTTTTTTAAAGGCCGTAGTAGATTCTGACTGCTGTAGGCAGGAGGTTCTCCTGTAGCTGTCTGTCTTACAGCTGGTCTGGAGAAGGCCCCTGATTGAAGAGACACTGTTGTATGACATTCAGGGTGTTTCCATTAATAAAGCATAATAAGAACGTCATCATGTGCACAAAGTTATGCAAATACTTAAAGGTACAGTGGAGGATTTTCACGATTTTTTTGAAAAGACCCGCCCTCTCCACTTTTAATAAAAAAAAAAATGCACATGCACAACCCTATACCCGCTCCCAAGAGGGAACGCCTATTAAACATGTGCGAGAGCGTGCAGGAGCCCATTTCTCCTCGTGCACGCTCCGTTTAAAAGTTGCTTTTGGAATCAGTCATACAAGCCTACTTTCCAAAAGGCGATTTGCAATTTTTCCTCTATGTCAGACTCACCACCGTGTTATGCTGAGATTTACCTCCCCTCTCGCACACTGATGAGAAACAAATTTGAATAAGAAAGAAAAGGGAACTTTTAAACATATTCTTAATATTTTCATTATTATTTCTTATGCATGGATGCCCTAACATTGAGAGTTTTGGTGGACAGATAAATGCAGAGAAATTCCTGCCTGCATAGAATTACCACCCCTGTCGCCGGAGCGTGCATCGCCCTAAATTCTCGCACACAGATGAGAAAATGGATTGAAATATAAATGAAAAAGGAAACTTTTAGACATATTCTTAATGTTTTGTCAGAAATTATATAGAATGGTGTTGATAGCAAAAGCCGGAAATGAGCAGAGAATATATTCATCGGACACTGACTGTAGCACATCGACTAAAACATGTCTCTAATCAAGTAAAAATGGTGTTAATTCTTAACTTGACTTTATCTGTCCACCAAAACCCAAAAATTTAGGGCATCCATGCATAAGAAATATGAAAACATTAAGAAAATGTTTACAAGTTCTCTTTTTGTTCATATTTCAATCTGTTTTCTTATCTGTGTGCGAGAGGGGAGGTCATTCTCTGCAGCCAGGTATTTCTAAGTGAAAATAGTGACGAGCACGTAGGAGGGCCTTAACGGATGGTCATACTCCTGCAGCAGTGTGTCGAAAGAAGACATTAGAAGAAATTTATTTATACAATTACTTTGTTTTTGGCGCTCAGACCTCGGTAGGAAACATAGCGCTGAATTTTGATAGATATGCATTAACAGGAGCAAAGAATAGGGCTGTTTCTCCACCAGGCCTGAAACTGGTGGTGGAGTGGAGATAGATGGTCAGTCTGCAGACTGCTGGTTAGGGAGACAGTATGCTCAGCTTTATTGGTAGATCCAGTGGACTGTGTGATCTGATACTCGAGCTTCACTCAGGGACCTGGAAGATGGAATTCCTGCTTGAATAACACAGGTTGAGAGAACCACAGGTTGAATGAAGTCAGACAGCGCATCCACTGCCTGCGCACAGGAGCGGACAAGTTGCGGATAAATTAGAGGCCTCCTGTCTATGGCACTGTCTGCGGTCAACTACATTTGGGAGAGCTGCACAAGAGTGTCTGCGGAAGGGGCGGGGACATCTCTGTGTTCACTATGACGCACACGCAGACGACCTAGTTTCAAAGTATAAATCAGCCTTTACGTGAACATATCACCAGAATGATTGACGATTAAGAGGACCACTTACTTAGATGATGCACCCGGAAAAAGGAACATTCTCCACTATACCTTTAAGTATTAGTTCAGTTCGTATTTACTCCCAAAAAGCTGACTGAAACTCACATTGAGGGCCTGCATAGCAACATGAGGCACTTTGTGGTTGACTCTCTTCATTATGGATCTCAAGCTGTCCTTTGGTCTGTAGCAGAAGAGAAAAACAAAACAAAGGTAAATGCCAGCAAAATAACACTAGAACAGGAAACTGTGCCTGATGAGTAGATGCTTGTATGGTATCACATCTTAAGACTATTTTTGCTGTCTAAAAACAGAAAAACTTTGCAATCATCCTCATAAAAATTCTCTTGATATTTTGACTGGACTGCTTTTTTCTATCTTACCCATTAGATGTCGTTCCAATTTTGTCACAGATGTCCAAAATGAGCCCCCAGTCATCTGTTGTGTTGTTTTCATTTGTTGCCTTCTCTTAAAAACAAACAAACCAAAAAGAAAAAAAAAAACATGAGAAGATGGACACATATGCTGAAGTGAGAAATCATGTTCACTGCCTTCACGCCGGCAGGCTGGTTTTTACGTGCCAGCCCCAGTCAGGAAGTGTTGAAATTTTACATATGAAGGATAAAGCCTCATTGTGTTGAAACTACGCAGCTAAATCCAGTTAAAATAGGATCTTCTTGTAGCCTAGTAAACTAGCCCCAACCGCCAGCGGCCAAAACCATTTTGCCTGCAAATTACACATTTAATCTCACATTTAGTCTGGTTTATCAGGCTAATCTTCTTGGGTGAATCATAAAATCTAAGATGACTGCACAATTTACAGGATTCCAATACAGGAAGTTGTGATTTTTCCAAATAAAAAAGGGAAAACATGTTATTTTCATCTATTTAGATACTTTAGCCAAAAGTAAAAAACAGAACATTATTTTAGATTTTTTTTTTAAATGACCAGGAATTGTTATAAAGAGATGTAGATTTTTGGAACACACTTTCTTAGTAATATGATGGCAGGAAAAAAATCCCAAATGAACATTTGTCACAACACTCATGACTCCTTAGTCAACAGAGCACCGTTGTTTGGCGAGACAAGTACACTGTGTGTTGCGGAAGCAGACATGGCTGGGGAATAGTTTGAATAATATTTACATATATGTCATTCAAGTTTTTACTAAACCGGGCTAGTAATAATGTTAGTAACAAATGGAAATAATTTGAGATGGAAGACGCTTCTTTAAATTTTATGTCAATTTCCCAGGGATGTTTTAACGAAGTGATGCTTCTTTTTTTTTCTTTTTTCCATCATTAGAAAAGAGCTCGACTTTGTCGTTTATGATGAAGAGCTAAATTTAAATGTCAATTTTAATTTCAAACTTCAAAATAAAAACTAAAACCTTGAATAGGAAACTTTTTTTTAAGAATTGAAGCCAAGCTGTTCAGAGATACTTTTTTCTATTATCTATTATCTATTATCTATTATCGTAATTTTTTCTATTGTTTTTCTATTGTTAAAACACTCTGGTATCAAGGAATTAAAAGTGATTATTTCAATCCACTGAAATGTATAGTCACATCGTTTCTATATTTTCTTCTGGCTGTTTACGTGGTAATGCTACCCACTGCAGGCCAGCTGGCTAAAAAAAATATGAATTGCCATGTTATGGCTGCGAAAGAAGCAGAGGTGTCAAGTAACGAAGTAGAAATACTTCGTTACTGTACTTAAGTACACTATGTAGGTATCTATACTTTACTCCATTACTAATTTTTCTTCCTACTTCTGACTTCTACTCATTACATTTTCACACAAGTATCTGTACTTTCTATTCCTTACATTTTTAAAACAAACGTTACTCGTTACTCTTGGCTTCGATTTAATGTTTGAAAATTTTTTATTTCACGTCATGTGTGCCATCCAATACAGATCACTGGCGCCATCCACATCTAGTAAAACCCTCATTGGTTATCTAAAGGAGATCATCAGAAGCAAGCAGGTGTTCTTCAAACTGTAAATGTGAATTGTCTATTTCATGCTACAATGTAGGATTTAGAAAAAGATGTTGAAATGTCTGAAAGGTCGGACACAGGCGAGAGCGTATCGGGAGACGGAGACCAACAAGACCTCCCTCACCCATGGCTATCTCAAAGAAGTTTTCGAAATAGTCAAAAAATTGAGCTTTCAATTCATATAGCAGCATCTGGCTGTATTTTTTTTAAAAGGTTACTTTATACTTTTATACTTGAAGTAGTTTTTAGAGCACATAATTTTCCCTTTTACTTGATTAAAGAGGTCAAGGTGATACTTCAACTTTTACCAGAGTGTTTTTAAACTGCAGTATCTATACTTCTACTTAAATAACAAAAGTGTGTACCTTTGTCACCACTGTAAAGAAGTAATAACCATCAATAAAAACAAATACTGCTTTGTAAAATTTAGCAAGCTGGAGAAAATTGCATCACTTATGTTTTTAAAGTAGAGCTAATTTGGTTCAGGATGCGGTGAACATTTTCTTTTCTTTTTTTTTTTTTTTTTTAAGTTGGACAGCAGGCTATTGCTAAAATAAGAAGGTTATAAACCAAGTCTAAGCACAAAACCTCAATACCATTTATAAAAGAGTTTAATAGTAAAGCATACTGTTTTATTTAAACAAATACTGAGATGAGCTTCATCATCTATGCCTTCAATTCACATCTGGAAAATATCTCTGCCTCACTATAAAAATAACTTATTTAAAGCCAATAAGATAGACTAAGACAGATTTTATTTTGTAATTTTGTACACACAAGTGTATACGAAAATACATTTTGTTAAGAACAGCTCTCTAGACTATTTAATTTTTTTAAGTGCAGCCTTGATAAGGTAAGCAGCAGTGATAAAAAAAACAACAACATTGTAATGAAAAACAGTAATGTAAACATGACTGTATAGGTACAGTTCTTACATTCAGTTTTTTAATAAATAAAACTAAATAAAAACTCAACAAGATGCTTAAAAACAAGGTAAATTAAATCCATAAATGCCTACAACAATAACAGCTGAGTCACGCATAAAACCTTCTTTATTGTATATTAATTAAATTTAATTTTTCATACCATAATCCATTTCTAACAAAAGTCCATTGGCTTTTAAATCGGGAATTATCACAAATAAACGTTAAATCTAATGCTTTTCCAACGTTTATCAAATAAATCTTTTAAAAGCTATTTTAAAATACTTGAGTAGTTGAGGGTAGTGAATATATTGGATTGTGTGACTGGCTTTAGTTTGACATCCTTTATAAAATACATTGGAAATCAAAACGCCTTTGAAATGTTTTGGGAGTAAACGTCATTATTCAGTTTCTGGTTAGACTCGAAGTTCGTTACAGAAGAGTCGTCGATAAAAACTAGAAAATGACAGCCTAATAAGCTGTTAACAGCTGTCAGATTGTTTGGTATAGGTTAACGGACAGGCCTACACTTGTATTTGTTGACATGACTAAAGCAGAAATAACTCCACATCGATGTATAGCAGCTAACTTAGCATTAGCTTCTGTTCTCGACAACAGCTCTTAGTTAAAGCTAAAAGGGCCCAAAAACAGCGCTACACTTACCGACATCTTGGTCAAATGGGTTTTGGGAAAACAACGGCATTTTTAAGTATATAATGTAAGAAAAAAAAAACTTCACTATAGGACAAAGGAAAAATAGATCTGTTACCAAGACGAAACCTAAACAAACGTCTCTTCCTTGTCCATTAAAGTTGCACCAGTTGCTCTTCCGGAAATCGGGCTGTCTCTCATAATGCCTGATCAGATAGATGTATATGTGTGTTTGCAATGTAAAGCCGAGAAATATAGTCACATCTCCAGTTTAATGTTGATTTATTTGGATAATCGAGGATATAGGACGTCCTGTATATATTTAATTAAAAAAAAGAATATTACAATGATTAATAATCACCATCATAACAACATTTAGGTCTACTTTCTGTGGGAAGGGTGACCTCTAGTGGAGAAAGGGAGGAAATGTATTTGCACAACTGTATCTCACGTGATGTCAACATTTCAAAATGACCATATTTTGTGAGTAAAACAACAACTCATCATCATGGATCACGCTAAGTATTATTGTGCTTACAGTAGCGTATCAAACACATAAAATCAGATAAAAAATAATGGTGGTTTGTTGAGATAACTTACCCGGGGAGGGCTTAGTGGATGGATGGATGGATGGATGGATGGATGGATGGATGGATGGATGGATGGATGGATGGATGGATGGATGGATGGATGGATGGATAGTTAGATTTAAATTTTTTGAAAGTGCAGCCTTGATAAGGTAAGCAGCAGTGATAAAAAAAACAACATTGTAATGAAAAACAGTAATGAAAACATATGACTGTATAGTTACAGTTCTTACATTACGTTTTTTTTTATAAATAAAACTAAATAAAAACTCTATATGATACTTAAACACAAGGCAAATTAAACCCATAAACGCATAAAACATTCCCTTTATTCTTCTGCAATGGGGAAATTCTGGTGTTTACAGCAGCAGAAATATTATACAGAAAATGGTCACACAAATATGGACCTTAGAAAAATGTATAAGAATAACATCATAGTGAAGAGTTAAAAGATAAAAAGTAAAATATTGTACTGTAAAGTGTTTTAACAGTATAAAAACTGTGCACCTGGAGATAAATAACCAATATACAGCTATGGACATTTTTACAGTAATGGATATTTGAAAATACGGTAGTTGTTGTGAACAGTGGTGGTTATAGAGTCTTACAGCTGCTGGGAGGAAGTATCTGGCTTAATGGTTGCACTTAGGCCTTTTAACACATTTCAGTCATCATAGTGCACTTCACACTATCATGAATAGGATAAAAAAAAATTATGAAAAAACATTAAAACCACTTATTGTTCTATTTCCAGTTCCTTATTCCACAAAGATATGTCCATCACATAAATACAAATCTATTACATAGAAGTTCGTAGCTAACACTGTTTGCATGCCAGACTCACTGAGACAAGTTTTTTTCTAATTTGTAGGAAATTCCAATCTGGATTTTTTTAAGTAGCAACATGAAAACGATAGCTTTTTAGTCATTGTTT